GATACAAATAAACTATCAATAACCAGAAAAAGAAAAACTACATACGTAAAACTAAATGACTTCCCAACCCCATTAATATCCCTTTTATTAAATTTTTGTACAAAGTTTTGTTATTGATATAAAATAAAAAAGTATTACGATATAAAATAAAAAAAGTATAAAATTTTGTTATTAAATTTATAATTTTTTTAACAAATATCCAATAATATATAATAAAATTTCTTATGTAATATTGATCTGGATAAAAAATATCGTTAATAGTGTTAATCTGGATATAAAAACATCAATTCACCGGTCAAATTAGATCTTCCTTTTGGTGAAGTGTTTATGTAATGATGATGGAGCACAGTAGAGTATGACGTGTGAGATGGAACATTATTAGATATTATAATGCTTAATTTAAAGAGATAATTAAGCAAAATGTCAATATAAAAGTTATTGAAAAACAATAAACAGCAGTTAGCAATTTTGGTAAGTTGGCATCCTCGATGGAACGAATAAAGTGAATGAAACCTTTTAATGAAATATAAATTAATGAAATATTTATTGAGTTATTGTTAATACAGAAGATGTGTATCTTTATCAAAAACTCAAGAATTAACCACTTAAAAAAAACTTGATATCCCATCTCAACTCAAATACATTTTATTGAACTTATTTATCCTTATCACATATGCATAAATATAATAAAAAAAATTATTTATTTACATTCCAACATTAAGATTAGATAATGTATGCTAACAATAGGTAAAATATAGTAGGAACAATTGTAAAATATGATTTGGTAGCTTAGCTTTATTATTAGTTTTAAAGATCATAAAGCAATTGTTTCAAAATGGTGCAAACCAGTTTACATTTTGATGACTCCCACCCAAAGAAACTTCCAAATTTAGTTTGTGTTACGAGATACTTTAGCAATAGTTTGGAACAACATAGTAAGCAAATAAACAGTGAGAATTAGATATGGTAGCCAGTTCAGAGCTACCGACAACATAAAAATTTGAAAAATGACTCTGGAATTCAGTGAATGGGTCCATTTTTATCACTTTTCTAACTAGAGGCAAAGTCCAGTTAAGAAAGTAAAGAATATAGAAAGAAACTGGGAAGTTGTTTTTTTTAGATACCAAAGTTTTGGTGGGTGGGACGAAATATGCGTTTCTATTGAATTTGCATTTCCCACACACCTGATGAAGAGGTTGTGCACCCATTGCGTGTACGCAATTTTATCTCTATTCCGTTTCATTTGTGCCCACCAGCTATTTGTTGTGTGGTGCTCTACGCCTAAACTTCATATCTACTCAACTCATTTACACACTTCTCCAAGCTTAATTAATTCCATTCATTAGTGTTCACCCACAGAAACCATGTGCTCCTATCATCTTCTCCACCCACTCAACTTGTTCCTCTTTTCATTCTGTTTCAAATTCTATTCAACCTGACCTAATCCATCAATCACATTTCGGCTATATTTATATAAAAGTTCATACAATGTTTTTCCAAATTTAAATGTATTCAAGTGTATTCTTTTTCTTTAGTTAGCATTGTCTTGTAACTTTCAAAGAATTTGTTTTTTCTAAATTTGCATTATGGGATGATTGATTCCGTCTTATGATAGTTTTCAACCCATTAACAAGATTGGTCATATATTTTATATATATAATATTTATAATATCCTTCTTAATACTTCATTTAGGTAGCTATTTAAGTGAAGTAAGTAAAAATAAGTTATCCGGATTTAAATATTTTATTTAAAATGTAAACAGAAAAAAATGTATATATGTATATAAATAAAAGTAGTAAAGAGATATTAACATCATTGAAATTTTCAATGTATATAAGATTATTTGTGATGACAAGCAACAGACACATATATTGATTAATGTGGTGAAGCACAGTTCATCTTCCCAATCATGATTTCTTCACATGACCCGCAATCACATGCGAGATGCAAATTTGGCACAGACACACATAGCTACATCTCACAGGTAGATAACAATGTCTCATGATTTTACTTTATTTTTACAGTTATGAAAAAAATAGAAAATTTAATAATATATGATAAGTTATGTGAGTTGTTAAAGAGAAAAAGGAAAGAACATATCGCAAAAAATAGGTGTTAGACATAAATAATTGAGTAGACACTAATTAAGGCATCTATGTGAACAACACCATCAGGGTTGAGAAAAAGGTTAGCTAAAGCAAAAAGGCACAAACAGAAGAAAAAATGGAGAATGATCTTAGTCTCTCTGCCCAATGTTATAAAGTGCATAAACTCAACCTTTAGTTTCTTATTTCTTCATCTCCAGCTACACATGACATATTTTAGTTTATAATATAATAATAATATTTATTACTATTATTATTCTGAGTGGCTTACAGCACCAAAGAGCTGAATTGAGCCTGGATCTGGAACTCTTCTGGCAAAAGGTAATAGAAACATCAACATCCTCTTCTTTCTAAATATTTTTTACTTAAATTTTTTTTATTGGTAACCTATTTCTATTAGGTAGTTACGGTAATGGAGAATGGACTGTGTTATATATATTACTATTACAAACGTTTTGCGTTTATTTTCAAAATTAATAACTTCTTTACATTTTATTTTATTAGTATTATTATTATAAAGATAATAATGAATATGTATTTAAATAATTTTTTTTTCTTTTTTCTTTTTCAATCAGATTATCTTTATTTTTAACTTTTTCTCTATTTTTTTTATCTAAATAATATATTTTTCATTTAATTTTTTTCTTCTACTTCCTGTATTTTTTATGGTTTGTTGATGATATAATTTTTTATAGTCGATATAGGATTTTAATATTAATTGACAGTAAAAAAGATTTTGATTTAGATTAAAGATACGAAGGTGTGGGGTCTTGAGAAGCCATGAAAGGAGAAAATCAATGTGCAGCAGCAGAAAGAACATCTGATACCATCATAGAGTTTCTACTCAGTAAGAAAGAGAGAAACAAAAGGAAATAGTAGTTTTTCATTGAACAGAGAAAAGTGCAAATACAAGCGAAAGGAGCAGTATATAAAGAGAAGGAGTAAAGCAAACAACACATATGTTATCAGATGTTACACCAGCATGCAATTAAAAGTAACATGGGAAATTTTAAATAAAAAAACATGTTAACAAAAATACTAGCAAATGTTTAAAACAAAAATAAAGAAATAAGTGACATTAAATGTCTTATTTATTTTCCTACCCCACCATCATTAGATTATTTGACTTAGTTCATAAACAAAAATATTTTATATATGTTTTGTTAATTATACATTTTTTATCTTTCAAAGTATAAACTATTGAACAAGTTTCATTTTTGTTTAGTATTAAATGTTTATTATTTTAATTTTAAATAAGAAAGAATGTATTTAATTAAAAAAATATCACTTATATAAAAATAAATTAATATAAAACATCTTATAAATCTCAAAACTGCGGTGAAAATTTATTTATTTAATATTTTTATTGTAATTAAAAAATGACGATAAAAAATCATTTAAAGTGTTCAACATATGAAAACTCAAAAGAAATTATATTATACTTTGTTTTATAGTTAAGATTATCTAATCTAGTGGGTTCAAAGTGCACATGAATAATTATTCTATATTTCTTTATCAGTGCTTAAATCCTATAAATAAAAAAATATGAAGACACAAAAAAAAAACAATCATGATATATAGTCGAAAGATTTATATTCCTACAAGAGACAGATGCCTAAAATAAATTGCACATGATGTTTAAGTAGTGTATGTTTTGGGTTACATATATAGGATGATACGCAGCAGCAATAATGAATGGTATAGGGTAGAATCTGATTTGAATGGTCCTTTGGGTCATCATCCAAATCTTGGATACCTAATTTTAAACAAATTGTCAATGGAATTTCCTTCACTTTTTCTTTTTAAACCTTTTCTGATGGAATCATTTGTCACTTCGCCATCCATCACCAAATATCTATTTTCATTTTCCCTTTTTTTTCATCTGCACCCCTGCACTGCAAATATACTGAAGAAAAAAAAATATGAAAAATACACTATTGTTTATCTAATCTTACCACCTCAATTAAATCTCTTCAAGTCTTCAACAAAATTTTATGTGTAAGAAGAAAATGTCTAAAAAGTCAAAGACTTAGTTTTACAAAATATATTTTCTTATGATCAGTCTTTACATGATAACATGATCAAGTATTAAATTTATCAGTTTGATTGTTCAAACTCCATTAAATTTGGTTGAAATGAGACAAAAAATAAAATAAAATAAAGTCTAACCTATATAAAAAAAAGAAAAGTAATCTATCATCCACATAACAATAAGGATTCTTATTTACCTGATAAGAACTGGTGATATGTCACTTTGATTATCAAAATAATATAACGTTGTCCATCTTTAAGTTAGTTTGTCTTTACAATAGATCATGATGAAATTAGAGATGCTAGTGTAAGATGCCAAAAGTATAATTCTTAAGAGGTGCCAAAAGTATAATTCTTAAGATTATACGAAGATGTCTTCTTCCTAAATCTCTTTCTAAACACTTTCCTCCTATAATTTATGTTACTCATCTTCTCTTTAGATTCTACTATATTTTATACTTGTCTCTTTGAAATTCTGTGTATATTAGTTCGCTTATGATAAAATAAATTCATGTTCCTTCCAAGAATAAGAAACTTGAATCTGGAATGTTATCAAAATCTAACCAATCAACAAAGGGGAAGTATAGATTATATAAATCATAGGGGGAAATATATAATCATAGGGGGAAAGCAAGAGAGAAACCTCACATGCAATTTAATGAAGAATATATTTAGAATGTTCTTAAACTATTTTGTTTTAATAATAGTTAAATAAATATCTTATTTACCCTTTCAATTAATGGTAGCTTAAAACTGAAGGATTAAGGTTTTTGGTTTTTATTTAGTCGACCACTCACCACACACAAAAAAGTTATTACAGATCATAAATATAATTTCATCTTTGTTTCTTTTATAAGACTAAGTATTAAACTAACATCGCTTAATGGCCATTAGGCTATAACAAAACCAGGTGAATGAGCTTAAATGGAAAAAGAAACAAGTTAAAAAAGAAAACCTTTGAAAGTCTGGACACAGTTCCAGAGGCAACAAAAAGAAATCAAGCATACAAGCAAACATAGCACAATAGAGATTTCAAGCACTAGTTAACTACTTCCACATCCCAAGCTCAGTACATCATAGCAGCCTCTTATACATGCTTATTCTATTGAATATCCACTGATAATCCTTTTTGCTTCCTTTCATTCTCTATCACTGCCGTAATCTTCTTTTCTCTCAACCCTTTTGAGAGGCATTTCACCCAAAGCCTTAAAACCTGGACCGGAGTCTTCACATTTGTACTTGTATTTTGAGGCCCAATAGAGGTAGTTAAAAAAGTTAAGGCAACTGAGGGTGGCTAGGAACCAATAGAACAAGTTAAGGTTGTTTTGGTTCAAGTCGAAGCCATGCAACCACCCTTGTTTGCTTGGAGTGATCCTTTTGGTGACAGCATTGATGACATTGACAAAGACTGTGCTCAAGAAGTAACCAAGAGCTGTAGACAACCACGTGAAAGAGGTTGAAAGTGATTTCATGTTAGCAGGTGATTCCCTGTAAAAGAATTCCAATAATCCCACAAGGGTGAACATATCCGCAATGCCAAATATACCATACTGAAATGAAAGCCAAAATAGGCTTATAGGCCTAGAAGGGTCTTTCCTTCCTTGGTCCCTTCTTTTCACTTCCACAACCCCAGCCACTGCCATTGATATTGCTGAGAGTACCAACCCCACCCCTACCCTTTGGAGCTGTGTTATGCCTGAAGGGTGGTGAGTGATTTTTCTTGCAATTGGCACAAAAAATAATTCATACAATGGAACTAGGACACTTATGAAGACAAGGGGGATAACGGGAATGGATGGTGCAGGCACTGTGAGGGACCCAAGTTTCAGGTTCATTATATTCCCTTGTTGAACTGAGAATGTTTGAAGCTGTGCCATACAAGTGTTCAGTATAATGGTACTGGCTACTATCGGTAACATTCTTGTTAGGATCTTCACCTCTTCAACTTGTGTCACTGTGCACACTTTCCATGCTTCGGGTTTTGAGTTTTCTTGGATAATTGCCGCTTTGTCTAGAAACCTGCGTAATTGAACAAACCACAACTTTTCAACATGCATGAATGTGAAAAAAGGGGATAGGAGACATTTGTATGCCTAAACCCAAATCTTGTCATCAATTATTTTTCAATTATTGTACATAGGAAGGCTATGATTTAAGCAACCGAATAATAATTAAATATCAACAAAAGAAGAAATCATTGATGTTGGCTCGATTGATGAGCCTAAAGTTTTTCAATTTTAGGGGTAAAAAGATATTCAATCAGAAATCGGGTTAGTAGGACACGGATGGTTAAAAAAAGTTAGATTTAATTCAGACTTCTAAAGTGGAATCTGAACCTCTGATCCCAATGAAAACTATTGATTTATAATTGTTTAAAGTTTAAAATTCAAATTCTTTCATCAGGCAGGTTGGCGTGGACAGAGAACCAAATTTCCTACTCAGAGACAAAAATAAAAATCACAGTTATCCACTGAGGTGAATGATAATATTTCAGAAAAAAAAAAAAAAAAACTAACTGAGTGATTGCATTCAGTACTGTTCTTTAAAGGCCTATTCCTTAGTTATGTCAGAATACTTTTATTTTGTGTTGTGCAATTTACACACGGCATGGATTTTTTTCCCTTATATAATGATTCATTCCCCCATATCTCTGCCGTTCCTTGACGTGTAGAGGTTATAGTGGGACCATGGTGCTTGGCGTTACCTACTCCGAGGTACATGAAAAAGAATCCTAACATACCAATTTGCTGGACCCTGTTTAGTTTAATAGTCTTGTCATTTGGAAGAAATTATTAGCCTTTATTCTGTGTATGCCTGTTGTTAAGTATGAATTTGAGCAGGGAAAGTCACCTCATTTGGTTGGTGTGGGCAATCTTTTCTGTTGTAGCATCTTTATCACTGATTTCATATAGTTCTCCATGTGACTCCGGCAGTGACAACTTTCGGTTCTTAAAAGCCACAACAATAACCTGTAGGTAACAAATAAAATGGTTTTTCAACATTATAAAAATGAACATGTAAGCTGGTTTAGTGGTTTAGTACTTATGATGAAGGAAAAGCCAAATAGAGAGATGCAGACCTGAGCAATTCTCAAAGTGGGGCTGTCTCCTGGAGTTTTGATGCGGTAGAATGTCTTACCAAGAGCAAGGGTCACAAACCCAACAGAGGAAGCAATGGTTATTATGAAAAAACCCCAATGCTATGCTTTTTGGGTGCTAACCCACACAACACCAGTGACTCCTGTTATTGCTCCCACTGTTGAACTCAGCAAAAGCCAGTTGAAAAAACTGGCAAGGGCTTTTGCCTCAGTTGGATCCTTCTCATCAAATTGGTCAGCACCAAATGCAGTCATGGATCCTCTCACCCCTCCCATTCCCAATGCCAACAAGCACAGTGATGTGTAAAACATCCCTGCTATGCCACCCTTGACGCAGCTTGATTTGCCACAGGCTTCAGGGTGTAAATGACTTGAAGCAGCCTGAACTGTGAGCATTGCCAAAGCCTACATGTGTGAACCCAGATACGGTATAAGCTTGGTTTGATACCTTTTGAGAAATAATGTTTTTTCTTCTTCAGAAACTTTATCAAAAGGTTGAAAGTAAGTAATTATTTTGTTCAAGTAACATTGGTTTCTATGTTGGGCAGGTCCTTGGGATTTGGGATTTGGGATTTTTCAAAGATATTATTTATTGTTCATCACTTACCAGAACCTCCAGTGATCCGAAAAGCAAGCATGTGATGAATCTGTTCAAGTAAGTATCTGAGATGAAGCCTCCAACGAGGGAAAGCAAGTAGGTTGAACCCATAAAGTTTGTGAGGGTGTTGGCTGAGCTGGCCAGATCAAAGTGCATCACTCCATAAAAGTATAGGACTATGCTCACCATGTTTGCCACAAAACCCATGTTGTCCAATGCTGACAAGACTACAATGAACAAGGGAAAGGGGGTGAAAAAAGCTTAATATATATCTTGCAATCAAATCATACAACAGAGTTTAGTGTCTTCTCCTTTTGCTTTTGCATACCAAAAATGAACATGGAAGCCATGAATCCTCCTTTGCTTCTCTTCCATTGGTTGAGGGGCCTTTGTTCTTCTTTGGCATCATGGTCAGCCTGTATGAAAAGATTTGAAACTCATTAATCAACAATACACACAGGGAGAGAAGATAAAGGTGAGATAAGGAGGATTGAGTATAACAGAAAGAATGAGTGACCAGTCCTTGTGGCTTACCATTCTAGAGATTTTGGAGAAAGTGTGTTTTAGACAGGAATGGAGTGTTCAGGGGAAATGGTGTTTATGAACATATAGCCGAAAAAGGAAGCTTTCGAGAAAAAGATAGAGCTCAGACAAAGATGGTAAAGAGAGAACAACTTTGAGCACAAAATGCACAAGAGGGCCTAGTTTATAATTTCCATGACCTTAAATTGATTCCCTGTATCCTTCACTAATTGTCCTCCATGCTACTCATCATGCTCTCTGTCCCTCCTTTTTCAAGGCCTCTTAGCTCACTAGTTTGGCATTTTCAAATCCAAAACAGAAAAGAAAGATTTGGGTAGTATTCTTGACAGGGTATCCCTCAACACTCACTGATTAGGAGGCACAACTGGCTTAAGGCTGTTAATTGTGGATGCTTAATCAATCAATTATCTTAATCAACCCAACATGCTTGCCCCACTCCACTCCATCTATCTGCTTGTCTTCGTTGAACAATCCATTGCTAGCATTTATCTACTTCCAGAGCCAGAAGCTTTCATGGGTCAAATTGAAAGGAAAAGACTGCTTTACGAAATTGCGTAGACTTTTCTCTCTTTGATTACATAGCATTATTTGATTTAGTGGTCATATCACACTTCAAATTCATTAACTGTTTATTAACCATAAAGCAGCACCATACTCTCATCACGTGATTTCCTCATGATTTTGCTCTTAATTATGTCATAAGAATAACCTTGACATATGTGTTAACATATTATACTGCATCATTAATGAGAACTGGTAATGGTTTGGATTCGAACTTGGGTGAATGCGTAAAATGTGGACTCTTAACATTTTGGTTGTTAAATTAAAGCTGCAGCGGCAGCAGCAACTTTGTGTCAAAGCTAGGATAATTAATTGATATTCTGATACGTATGAGAGGACTAAGGTTGAAATTGAAACTTGTCCTTTTGGTTAAGCAGCTTTGTCAGACAGAAAAAAGGATATCAATTATTTATTTCTGTGGAAAAAAACCACATATTGCCCAAAAATTTGTATTTGTACGAACTACGAAGAAACACATAAAGCTTCACGGCCAAAGCTGACCTTCCAGTTCCATCCCCCAGGACAGTAAAAAATTGAGAAATGACACGAAAAACCGAAATCCTAAGTCAAATATTCAAAGTTTCAAACTATGGGTCACATGGTACAGCTCATATGGTGTCCTCAATGTCCTTTAGAGCTCCATTGTTTGATAAAAGTCCATGACTGTCACTTTCCCTCTCTTATCATGCACATCACTGAAACTCGAGAGCTTTTCCTTTAGCTTTGCTTTGTGAATCTCATTCCACTAATAAAATCCATCTTACATTTGAACTGTCTCTTTCACAATAGCAGTCTAACTTCTAGTATCTCAATCATGCTAAATCTTTTTGTTCGAAAATCACTGTCAACTGAAATCACTTTTTTCAGTGTTCCCTCATCCTGTTTGATTGGTGGGTGAAGCAAAGATGGGTTAGAACGAACTGGTTTTGCTATCATAGTTTCACCTTACAATTCAATCGCTTTGAAAGTTAAAATTTAAAAGTAAAAAACCTGTCTGTGTACATGTTAGATGATGCATGGTAGTTCTGCTTCCCAGTCCAGCCAGAGCCAGCTAGTCCCACAGAAACGAAGACATCATAGTAAATGAGCCCATCAACATCATCTGCATTGTAGCTGCTTGTCAAAAGAAAATGCGCCTGATAATTGTCCAAATCATGTTCATTACATTCGAGGGACATATCAAAACACCTGATGCTATCAATGTCCTGTTCTAAAGATGTAGAATATATAAAACAGATATTTATACAATTAAAATAACCCTCCATCTTTCCAAGTTCAAAATTCAAAATTCAGAGCTCAGAATGAAGCAAGAATCCTACTTTTATTTATAATCTGCAATCTCAACGAGACTAAAAGCATTAGTTCCAGCAAATTATGAAACTTTAAAATACTCAAAAGGCTATAGCTGACCAAAATGAATATGGGAAATTGGAACCCAATTTTCAAATGGACCACATCACACTTTCTAAAGGATAAGGTTTTGTTTTCAAAAACTAATCCTTAGAGTAACAGTTGTGTTTCATTTCAACATAAAAAGAAAGTTTTTTTTTTTTTTCACATGGTTTGATTTGATTAACAAGAGAAATAGAGAAGAAAAAATTAGTGGGAGACTTGCCAAAAATACTTCTCTCATTTGACAACAAAGGAAAACTGAAAAGAAAAATTGGACAGAAATATACTTTGAACTTTATCATTTTTTCTACCTTAATATAAATTAAAAGGGAAATATACCTTTATTAGAAAAGCTAATTTTCATGATTGGAGAGAAAGTTAAAGTTTTTCAAAAGATAAAAAGATATATCAGTTAATAGCTTTCAAAAAGTACCTTTCTTAAATAATTTTCTTTTAATAACAGAAAAGAAATATTAGGAATGTAGTCAATTAATTTATAATTACCTGAACTAAAATGGCTACTTACTAGTGTAAACTTGGAACAAAAGAAAAATGATTAGCCAGCTATGAAGTAGGAAGCAAGTGAATTACTGAGAGTGGTGATGAGAAGGAGCTATAAACAGAAGAAACAAACCAAAAGAAACCATTTTATTGAGATGGTGGGTACTAATCAACAACCACTACTAATAGAAGTTGCTGATGCCACTTTAAAATTTTTTGGATCTATCAATTTCAATCAAAATCATGGATCCCTTTGTCGTGGATGTGAGTTTATGTTCATGATTGGACTTTTACTCAGAAACTCTGGTATAGAAATAGCCCTTCTTAATTCATAAATGTTCTTTTTTCAGAAAAGCTTGATTTATTAAAAACCCCACCTTCCATTCCTTCACATTTGCTTTTTGAACATCACCCCATTCTTAGCACTTTCCCCACAACACAAACTTGTTCATGCTTTTCCAAAGTGCATGCTTCATCACATCTCTTACCATCTTCTGGGTTTCTTGCTGTCCCTCCACCTCCTTTTCCAATCTGTTATCCCCACAAAACAAATTCTACTGCTCTTTCAAAACATTCATACACTGTCTACCACTTGTTTGATGCTTCTATTATTAGTTATTAGTTGTGCTTGTGCCTAATACATAGTACAAACACTATGTTTTCTGGTATTTATGACACATTGTTTTTATTTCTTTCTGCTTGTCTTTCACTTGTTAAATCATTAAGTGTAATTTTTGAACATGACAAATTAACAAGACAATGTGTGTTATGTATAAAAGGTT